TGGAGAAGGTATTTTTCAATGTCATTGTACTGTAAAAACATAGATTAACGTGAAAATTGCTAAATATTGAACTACAAACTTCAAATTTACTCTGGAGGACCAAGTAGTACAAAATATTCCTATCTCTAGAATTTTTCATTTAGTCAGGAGTATAGTGTATGTGCTCTTTTCCTACCTTGTGCTTCATTGTTGCCTATTTTATATCCTCTTGCATATTCACACCCTTCTTGGATGAATGTGATGCTTACTTCTACTTCTGTGATGGTACAAATCCATTTAATGCACAACTGTTGATGGCTTGTGATGCTACTTCGCTGAGTTTAGAAGACACTGTATCACATGCTGTGCTGCATATGCTGTTTGAGTGGGATTAGTGCCTTAAATAAGCAAAAGCACATAAACTTTTCTGTCTTTCATTAAGCCAGACCTCTTTTAAATATCATCACAAATTGCATTACATGTTGTATGGGTTTATAATCTAAGATCTCAGTAAGCAAAAAATTGCTGAAGCATTGCTTAGGAGTTCATTTCAGTCTTTGGTGGTTTGTTATTCATATGGCTGACTATATTTGAGGATATGTATGAATGTCAACTATAGATTGGTTGGATATGAGATTATGTAGAGATAACATATTAAAGTATTAAAAATGATTCCCCCAAGTGGAAATGACTCCTCATAATTTGTTCCCTACAACTAAAAGTCTAAGTAGTATAAGTTTAAGTAGAAGAAGGATATAAGTGTTTAGATTTATTCTTGTTAAAGTGTTTAGATTGTGTTATCAAGCTTGAGAAGTGTTTAGAATTATTATTATTATTTATTATTATTATTTAAGATTGTTAAATGTTTAGATTTATAATTATTGCCCTTCTAGAATATAATTTGTTAGGAATGTAATATTAGGTCATGTAACTTAAAACTGTTAAAAATATAATACTATATAGCCAGAAACAGCTCCCCTCTCTGTGTCCCAGGGCACTCTCAAACTTATTGTTACACAATTGATGTCTGTTCTCTTCAAAGCATTGTGAAGCAATTAACCCTAATCGCAAAGTGAAACATTGTAACTATAACAGGTAACTAATTCAGCACTCAGAAAGAGAATGTTTTAAGAAATGTCACCCAGAAACTTGTGACTTTTTGTAACTACAACTCTTGTATATGTAAAGTTATTATTATACAAAATACTGTATGTGAAACATTAATTAGGGAATGTATGTAAGAGAGAGAGAGTGCTTGGACAATGAATGAATGGTTTTGAGAGGTGCCAGCCTGAGAATGCAGCAACAAAGGGCTGAAGAAGGTGTCAGGTGCCAGTGCAACCAAAAGGTGTCAAGTGGAGAAAACCAAGTACTGGAGGTCCACCCTATGAGATCACTGACGAGCACCTGACAGCCACCCTGGACATTAGCATGATGCAGCAATTCCCATAGACTGGCATAGGAAGAAATTCCTATAAGAACTGGACTAAAAGACTATGGAGTCAGAGTCCAAGGTTCTGCTGCCAGCCTACCAGGAGCTTCAGATGCGCATCTGATCAGGACTTCGCTCCCCACTACCATCACTTGTGTACAGAATACCTGGCCAGTATTCTGTCACAAGCAACTTCCAGGCTGGTAACTATAACAAATACACAGAACTTGGATGAATGATTGAATTAATGTCTATATCTGAGTGTGTGTGTGTGTGTGTGTGTGTGTGTGTAAGGGTTAAGTAGTGATAGGAATAAGTATCTAAACAACATTGTTTGCTTCTATCTTTTCTTTATTCTTTATTATCTTTACAATAAGTGTGGCTTTTTGCCTTATCCCCTCATAAGATCCTGCTTGCTTTTATTGGTACAACAATTATTTATCCATTCTAATATTTGTTTTTCCTAGCAAATTAATTATATCAGTACCACCAAGTCACACATTTAAACTATTTTAAAACTTTGTGTACATAAGACTTGTAGGGGGAGAAAAGTAATGTACCTTGTTTCTGACTTGGATATTTTCTTTCTATGCCAGGCAACCTGGATATCTGGGCCATAACTGTGGAAGAGCGAGCTAAACATGATCAGCAGTTTCATAGTCTGAAACCAACATCTGGATTTATCACTGGTAATTTGATACTTTCCACATCCAATTCCATTTAATTATATCTATAATTCATAGTAAATAATTGTGCACAAAATGTATGGGAAAAATGCAGGCATGGCTTGATTCATACTATATTTCAGCTCTCGTGTATCCCTCTGCCATATCAACTTCATCTCTTTTTGAATCTTGCTGAAAAACTTATCTTTTCTCTGGTTTATATCACTTGATTTTTTTCTCTCTTTATATTCCTGCTCTGTAAAGCAATGCTACTCTATCTTATAGAGATGCTTGCTACTTCATAACAGTCATTATGATTTTGTGGTTCTGATTCTGTGATAGTGTGATGACTTGATGTTTACTTAGGTTTGATAAGTAGGGCCATTGCACTGTCTCAATACATTGTTGTGTTGATTGATCAATATGTGAAAAATACAGTCTTAAATATGTCGTACCTGTTTAAATAAAATCAGTTTAACATTTTAGTTAAACCAGTTCAAACCTCTGTATAGACAGCCTTTTATAGCCATTTAGAAGTGGCACATATCGGTTTAGTTTGTGAGGATTAAGCAATAAATCCACAACCATAGCTTTCACTAATTTAACAAAATTGTCTTTTAAATCGCTGCAGAGTAGGCTAAATACCATAGAGTGATAACAGGATCTTGTACTATGGGGCTGCATTTAGACTGGCATGATTTTGCGCAAAAGCAACTGCTTTTGCGCAAAATCTTGCCGCCTATCTACACTGGCCGCAAGTATTTGTGCAAGAACGCTGACTTCGTAATGTACAAAATCAGTGATTCTTGTGCAAATACTCCGATGCTCCCGCTCAGGGATAAGCCCTCTTGCACAAGTATTCTTGCACAAGAGGGCCAGTGTAGACAGCCACGTTAATTTCTTGCGCAAGAAAGCCCGATGGTTAAAATGGCCATCGGAGCTTTCTTGTGCAAGAAAGCATCTACACTGGCACAGATGCTCTTGCGCAAAAGATTTGCTTTTGCGCAAAGGCACATGCCAGTATAGACACTCTCTTCCGCAAATACTTTTAATGGGAAAAACTTTTTAATATCCATCCATTAAAAGTATTTGCGCAAAATCATGCCAGTCTAGATGCAGCCTGGCAGTTTGGTGGCTCTGTTTGGTTCTCTTTCCCCTCTCATCGCAGCTATGTGTGAAGAAAGAGAATGGAGATGTATTGTTTTCCTTGCTATCAACCTGTTAGGAGGCGTTCAAGAGTCTCACCTCAAATCTGTGGTCTTGAGCCTCATCTGTGGTCCTAAAGAGCCACTTATGCCTCTCACAACACAAGTTGATTATTTCTGCTCGTCATATGACATAAAATCTGTTATGTCTCTGTATGTAACTTAATTTTGTAAAAAGTGTATATGTAATAATTCTTGTAGCCTTTCTACTCCTTTCCTTCATAGATCATCAAGTTTCCTTTTCAGGAACCTAATCCTACTGGACCTAACCCTTAACTTCTGTCTTCCTCATCCTTATCTACTTTTACCACTCCACTGGACGAAAGATGGGAAACTACCTCAGAATTTTTGCTGTTGCCCTTCTTAATGGCTAATTAGTCTCAAAGATTGCTTTGCTCAGTTTTTCTTGACTGGTCTCTATTGTACCTTAAATACCCATGGAAAAATAGAAAGTTTTAGATTTGCATTGATGGAAAATAGTGTTTCCTGTGGAGAAAGCATGTGCTTCCTTTATTTTGCTAGGCATATGATTCCAAGAAAGAGCCATTAAACATGTATTGAGCAGCAGGAACCATATGTTTCCTAATGTCCATCTCAATAGATTTTTCCTGAAAAATGTTGATGTCCAGTTAACTTAAAATGGAAGCAACTTCTGCAGATTTAAATATGGAAGCATGAGGTAGATATTCCCCTACAGATACCCGTGATTCACTAGTACCTAAAATTACATCTGTAATATTGCTTGCAGATTGCTAAATGGTAAGCTGAATTTAAATAATATCCTGTCGTATGTTCCATGTTATTATATATGCTTTTTAATGATGGCCTTTTGAAAGCTTTGACTTTTTATCTCTGTCCTCTCCTGGGTATTGTTAGCAGTCCTTCTGAAATGATGCCTTTCTAACTTATTTTACAGGTGATCAAGCTAGAAACTTTTTTTTCCAATCTGGATTGCCTCAACCAGTGTTAGCACAAATATGGTAAGTATTAAAAAAAAAATATCTTGAGTTATATTGGCGCAAGGAATTCAGTAACACACACATTGCACTTAATATGTTGCTGTTTAAAATCACTCGCTTTGCTCAGCTTATAGTCTAAAAATTAACACGACAAAAGCACTTGTTGCCATGATCCAGCTGTGATTTTTTTTTTTTCAAAGTTACTAATATATTTCATATGCTTCTTGCAGAAAGTAGTCCTCTTACTGGAAAGTGACATTAGTAACAGGAGGTGGTTTGATAGAAAGTGTATGAAGAAACCATATAAAATATTTTTGGCTTTGTTAAATTAATATAGTCATAAAATGCAATGATTTTTAAAAAAATATTAAGATACTAGGTATACCATCTGAACTGGACCTTCATAGGTATCATAACACTTATAATCTGCAGAAAATCTATTTTAATCTTAGCATTGGGATAACAGGGTTTTGAGACGGGGAACAATGTTTTTATTCTTTCTGGGCAGTGAACAAATAAAAATTTGCAAAAATTCATTAAACTGCTAATAAACCCAATGGGAAAATGTAATCTAGTTTCTTCATGTGGGTCTTTCAGATTGCTACTGTTTCAAATATATCAGAGTTGATTCACAAAGCTAGTTTTAATTAAAATCTTGAAGAAAACTTGAGAGCTGCGCCCCCTGCTCACTGTGCTCACCAGTCCCCCTCTCTCTGGCAGCTTTCATAGCCAAAGAGCATGAGAGCTACACTCACCAACCCCCCTCTCTGGGATAGGTGTTTGGCGGGGAGCAGGGGGACAGGAGCAAGCTGGGGGGTAGGTGTCTGGCCAGGAGGGAGGGGGCAGGAGCAGGCTAGGACTGTAGGGACTGGGGATGCAGGATCTCAGTGAAGGGTGTGTGTGAGGGTGTGCGAGGTCTTGGCAGGGTGGTAAGTGAGGGGGCTCAGGGTGCAGGGTCTTGGTGGAGGAGGTGTGTGAGGGGGTTGGGGTGTGAGGTCTCAGCTTGGGGGTATGAGTGAGTGGGCTGGGAGTGTGGGGTCTTGGCAGGGCATGTGAGAGGTGAGTGGGAGTGCAGGGTCTCCATGGAGTGTGTATGTGAGGGGGCTGGGAGTGTGGGTTTTCGGAAGGGTGGTGAATAAGGGGGCTGGGAGTACAGGGTCTCTGCAGGGCGGTGAGTGAGCAAGCTGAGGCTGCACAGGAAGCCTGTGCTGGTGCTCCAGCCTCATCTCTCCCAACCAGCCTTGACCCTGCACCCCCCACCCACCTCATTCACCACCCTGCCAAGCAGTGGGAGACGCTTCCGTGAAGTGCGTCCCTGCGCTGCTGTTCCCCAAACTGGGGGAGGGGGAAAGGAAGTGGCAGCATGCAGGGAACCTTGAGGCTTTCCCCCATCCCCCAGGAAGCTGGTGCTGGTGCTTCAACTTTGCAGGTAAGAAAGGGCGAGGCTGGAGCACCAGCACCAACTTCCTGTGGGGAGGGAGAAAGCCCCAAGTCTCCCTATACTGCCGCTTCCCTTTCCCTGGCTCAGGCAACAGCAGCACAGGGACGTGCTTGAAGGAGGCTTTTCCTGCTGCTCGTGGTGAGTGAGGAGGGAGTGGGGGTGCAGGGGTCTCAATTTGGTGGTGAGGCTGGAGCACCAGCATGGGCTCCTTACTTCTGGGGGAGCTGGGGAGGCTGAGCTGGAGCTGGTGAATGAGGGGGCTGGGTGGAGGGGCAGGAGTGAGAGAGCCTCCAGCATGTCCCACTGCTGCTGACTGTGCTGCCCATGAAGCTCCCTCCACTTTGGCTTTGCCTGCAAGGGAGGCAGGCAGTGCACAAAGAGCCCTTTGTGGTATGACCCTGGCTTGTGCCCAGGGCTTTTCCATGCTGTGCCCGCTGACAGCGTGGGCTCCAGCTGGGCAGGCTTTTCCCTACCCTCTGCAGCGCTCCGAGATCCCTCTCCTCCCGCAGCAGCAGGGCGCTGTGCACTCCAGGCAACACTCACTGTAACGGGCCATCCCAAACTGAGCTAGGGGCCCACCTCGTTGCTGCCTCCTCCCCTGGCATGAAAGCACCACTGGGGGACATCTCTCTCACTCTTGTCTTGTCTTACCTCTCCCCCTCCCCACACAATCTGTTGACACTGATGCGATGTCATTCTTTCCCTGACTGACACATATTATAATTTAAAAAGTTTAAGGGGTGTAGTTCTTTTAATTTGGTGAAAATTGGATTGCTACTTAGAGTAATGTGAAATTTGTTTTCACTAAAATAGAATGTCAGGAAAAACTACCTAGTTGAAATAGAGCTATTATTGAATAGCTATTTTGAAAACAGTCATTTGTATTTAAGACCTTGGACTACATGAAGGGAGTTTTATAAAATTAAAGTAGCAATACTTCAGTTCTTAACAAAATACTGTGAAAATATCAGGACTTTTGTAGTTCAAGCCAGAGAAGTTGCTATGGTTTATCATGACAATTCCTCTGCTGATCTACTTTTTACAGGCTTTATTGTCTGTAAAGCCAGTAATCTTTAAAGTGTCTAAATAGTCTGTGAAATGAGAACATAATAGCTCAGAAGGTAAGAACTATTATTAGCTAGGCCATAATCTGGATTTCTTCCAAAACCACAATGCTGTTTCTCCTTCCTGAAAATCTCCACCCAGACCCTGCATCTCTAGCTTAATTTAAAGTCAGACTGGAAATCTTATTCTGTTCAGAATTCTAGTTCTGCAGTTAATATAAAAATAGTTGGTAGATTAATCCTTTTCTGACATCCACTTTCATCCTAATATTCTCAAATTTTGTGGGAGATAGATGGTGGGAAGATATTATGGTAGGAAAGGCCATGGGATTTTATTGTTCAATGTATACAGTAGTATATAATTTAAAGTCAGACTGGAAATCTTATTCTGTTCAGAATTCTAGTTCTGCAGTTAATATAAAAATAGTTGGTAGATTAATCCTTTTCTGACATCCACTTTCATCCTAATATTCTCAAATTTTGTGGGAGATAGATGGTGGGAAGATATTATGGTAGGAAAGGCCATGGGATTTTATTGTTCAATGTATACAGTAGTATAGTGACATTCCAGATTTAATTCCTGCCGTGGTTTGGTTCATAGTTTAAGATGAACATTGGAATTGAAAGCTAGTCAGTTCAAGTAGAGCTTCCTTGCTGGTGTGTGTAACATTCTAAAAGTAACCTTCAGAAAGGTATTTTTATAGTTTAATAAGATGTGCTCTAAGCTTCACAAATCCTGCCTGCCTGGTCTTTGACCTTTTACAGATGGCAGCACTGCAGACATTCAATTGCAGGGTATAAGGAAGATGGTAATGCCACTTCCATTTAAGCATAGGAGGGGAGAGAGATCCATGTGGAAAGGATCCCTTCTGCATCTAGATTTAAGATGAACTTTTGCAATTATCCAAGTAAAAAAAAAATCTACAATTATGAATACAGGCATGTTTTATAGATATAATAAATATATAATCCATTTACTCTCCTACACTGGTTTCCAGCCAGCTCTTGAATAAATGAATTAGTGTACATTAAGTTCTTCCTAATATTGTTATAACCAAAGACTTTTTGTTTTGCAGAGCAGTGAAATTTAGGTGGTAGTTACTGTCAGCTACTCAGCAGTCAAGTCAATGTTTACATAAAAAGTAGCATTGTAAATTCAGAGTGTATGGTTAGAATCTTTGAAAGTGATAAGAAACGTGTTGTTTCTCTGTTAATGGGGGGGGGGAAGCCTTTGAGATACAGAAGCTTAACTTTGTATTTCCACTAGCATATTGTAATCATTAAATGTATGTAAATGCTGCAGCCTTCTAGCTGTACTTCATTTTCCTGAAATTTGTGTGAAGCTGAGTAAAATAGTAAAACTATTGAACTACAGCAAATGAATAGAATAGCAGGACAGACATTTAACTAGAGATGAAATTTTTTTTTATTAAGTGGGCAGATAGGAGTTTTCTCATGTAATGAACATAATGGGATCTATGCATATCTTGTTTCTTATTATTATTAATTGTACTTAGAAGGAAACAATGTAGATTGAAAATGTATTGGCCAGGAGGCCAGTCTCTGTAGCAGTCTCTTGCCTCTGGAATTTTCTTCCACTAGAACTAAACCTACTAACTGGGCCACATTCAAGAAGTAATCCAACATAATCCTTGTTTCTAACAGAATTCTGGAGATCTTATTAAACAAACATGGCCTTTTCAGTCTTCTCATGTAAGTTTGTAGTGCAAGATTTTTGACCCTAAATCAGCATTTTGCTGGCCCAACAGGGGAAAAAAACGTGGATAGTTTTGAACCAAAACAGAATTAAGTAGTTAGTTTTTTTCTCATAGTAATGAAGAACAGAAGAGTTTAAGTCAAACGAAATGTTTTGAAATGACATCTTCAAATTTTGTCTTTGGGGGGGGGTGTGTGCGTTGGTGGGGGGGGGGGGGGGGGGGGGGGGTTGGCAGAAATTACTAGCTGAATTTGAACCGAATACATAGGCAAACTGTGATGACCCTTAATTTACTTAATGCTTTACTTGGTGTTTATTTAATTGCAAATAACCTCAGCATTGAACTAGATTGCCTGGCTGTCAGGTGGGCATCTGGTTACAGTATTGTTGCCATGTCTGTGAACTACAGTCTGTATCTCTAATAATTTTGTTTTTAGTTTGAAATAATCCCAATGTTTTATACTGACATTAGAATATTTTTTATTCTCTCTAAGGAAAGCATCATAATGCAACTCTTAATTTACAATTGCTTAAATCATTAACATGCACTTACTTTTTTTATTTTGGTTCTCAGTTGCAGAAACTAGTGTTATCCCTCCTCTTCCCATCCCTCCTCCCTACCTCCTGCTGTGCACTGTTTTCTTAAACAGTCTACTTTTTGTTTCTTCATTTGATGTAGTGTAAAGTCAAAGACTACGCTACATGAAAGCCTATTCAAAAACTGGCCTCAATGTTTTATACTTGAACACTGTAGTCTAACTGAAAACTCATTTGTACACTCCATTATAATGCTTTTAGTGCAGAGCATGAATTTAAAGAGCAATTTATTATAGGACTAGCTGAAGTACAAATTTGTTGACTAAGTCATTTGGTTCCCTGTGGTGCTGTGTGCAGTACCATGTCGTTTTAATTTGTGCAGTTTAGCAAAGTTTCTGTAATTACACTAATCCTTCCTTTCAGCTTGCTGCACTGTAGTTCCCTTATGTAGTAAAACATAACTTAGAAACATCACAGTTTCATCATTCAAAGGGAGAAGCTGAGAAACTTTCTGTTTATTCTTTAAATGGTGGCTTAATTCTTTTGTGTTCTGCAGAATTCCTCCTAAGCAGGAATCAGACGGTTCTTGAGTTTCTTGCTTTGTGTGTGGGGGGGAAGGTAGGGGGATTCTTTGCTTATGGGAGAAGTCACATAGTCATATTTTAAAAGCATAATTGTAAATCCTGCTTGTTTGTAGGGCACTGGCTGACATGAACAATGATGGGAGGATGGACCAGATGGAGTTTTCCATTGCTATGAAACTTATCAAACTAAAACTACAAGGTTATCAGCTCCCCTCTGCACTCCCTTCTGCCATGAAGCAGCCTCCCATTGCTATTCCTGGTGCACCAGGGTTCGGTAAGAATAGAATTTGATCCTAATTCTGTGGTTTGATAAAGTTTAGAAACAACCCAATGAGTGTGGCTTCTTAACCTCCATGCATAATCAATAACCAAGCCAGTTTCCTACTCTGGTTCAGACCCTGCGGTGCTCCCTCTGTACTTTCACCACCCTAAGTTCCCTCTAGGGCGCATGCCTGTGTGGGTGCTCACCAAGAATTCTAATCCCACCCATCTCTGCAGAGCTACACAGCAGCACTCGCTTTCTTTGAATGTGGAAGGTAAGCTGCTGCTGGTGGGCTTGGTGGGAGAGTGGGGGAAGCCAGGTCTGTGTAGTGGCTGCCCGGCTATTCCCAGGATGGGGCTGTGGGGTGATCAGTGGCCATCTGGTGGGCAGCTGCCCATGTGCTGAGGCTGAATCTGGCATCCGGGGCCTCCACCCACCCTATGGTCCTGCCCTGGGAACAGCTGTTCCATGGCCCCAGTTCTAGCCTTCCCACCATGTGGCCCCATCCCAGGAGCAGCAGGGGTCAAGGCTGGCAGCTGCCAGAGCTGGGGCCGGGGCCATGGTCACGGACCACAATGCTCTTTTTAGTTCCATGGTCCCAACTTCAGCCCCAGCACATGGGGCAGCTGCCTGCAACACAGCCCCACTTTAGGAGCAGCTAGGTAACCACCACACGGCCTTGGCCCCAGCTTTAGTCCTTCCCCAGGGTTGGAGCTGCAGCCGGAGCTGCATGGTGGTTGCCCAGCTGCTCCTGGGGCGGGCCATGTGGCAGGCGGCTGCCGGGGCTAAAGCTGGGCTGCAGTGCAGTTGCTCCAGGGGCTGGAGGTCCCCTGCATCCCCATTCCTCCTCTTCCTCTCTCACTGCCCTCTGGCTCTGAGTTCCCTGCCTCCTTCAGCTCCCTATCAGCTCTCTTTCCCCAGGCTCTCCACATGTCACTGCCCTATCCCCAGCACCCCACTTCCTGCAAACTCTCGGCAAACTTGCAGCAGCTTCCCTCTGCCCCAGGCAAGGACTCGCAGCCAGCCCCATGGGGAGCAGCCTGGAACTGCCCCTGCTCTGCACACAGGCTGCCCTGAGAGCAGTGCTCTCTGGGGACGCAGATCTAATCTTCTCCCGATGCGGTGTGGGGGTGCTGCCTGGGAGAAGGGCTTCGGGTCCCAGCAAAGGGGGCTGGCCAGGCTGGGGTCTCTGTGCTGGAAGGAAAGTCTCTTGGGGATCAGCGCCACTGGTGAGTGCCACAGTGGCATGCATCCCAACATGGGCACATGACCTCAATATTAATGCACAAGATAAAAGCTCATAGATGGAAAATCTTAGAGGGAATGCTGCTCACCACCCCCAAATATTAGAAAAAGCAGGCAGGCCTTGCACTCTCCAATGAAGATCAACAGAACTGAGCTGTTTCAGACCAAGGGGAGTGAGTGAATTCTGAAGCTGGGGACCACCTTCAGTGAGACCACCTTGCTGGCAGTTCCTTAGATCTTTATTAATGTGTCTCCAACTGTAACCATTGCCAGAGTTACGATCAGCAATCTTGATTTAATGTATCCAAAGTAGTGTCTGAGCACTGCAGTCCTCACATGTTGGCCTACACAGAGTGGCAATAATAGTGAGGCTGGCTACTGCTTCTTTAGTTCTTGAAGCTGGTATTGCTGAAGTGGTTGTGGCTCCAAAGAAGGGACTGGGTAACAGAGGACTGGTATAGAATAAAATAAATGCGTGGGCTAGAGCCTGGGACCTCATGCTTAACAAGTTGAATTCTGGTGTGGAACCTACTGTAGATATGCTCCCAGCTGCATGCATACAACCTCACCTCTTCCCCAGTACAATTGTTCAATCTCCTTGACCTCCACTTGTCATCTATGCAGCTGTTCTCATACCAAAAATATCTGATTACTGTGCTTTTCCCTGTTAGCTGCAAGCAGTGTACCAGAAACACATTCTTTTTTAGACAGTGGCTGAATGTAGATTTCAGGTTTTCTACTCACCAGTGTTTGACATTACTTCTCTTTATCTCTCACACAGTGGACAACTTTCTTAAATTCTTGTATTTCTTCAGTTAGCATTGCAGTCACATAATCCTATAGCAGGGATTGGCAACCTTTTAAAACCAGAGAGCCAAACTACATCAAAATTCAGAACAAATGGTTAACCAAGAGCCAGAAGAGAATGCCCATTTACATGAGTGAAAATATACAACTTAATATTATTGATAACTGACATGATGATTAATAGCATAAATGAAACATTGTACTCACAGACTTTATTTAATGGGACTTGCATCTTTTCACACATTTCTTTGAGATGTACATCATAACTGGTCAAATCCAGCTTCATTCAGGCTGTCTTCTGTCAGTCTTATGACGGGACTGGAGGTGTGGGGTGCAGGAGTCTGGGGCTATGAGGGGCTCAGGGCAGGAGGTTCAGGTGTATGATAGCCTCAGAGTTGAGGTGTGGGGGGTGCAGGAGTGTTATAATGCTGCGGCCAGATGGGGGCTGGGCCACAATTGGGGGCTTGTTGGCCAGGCTTCCTTTTTAAATAAAGTAAAATATTATGCCCAACACAAAAGGTTTCCACATTATTTTTTATTTATGGCAGGGGTGGGGAACCTTTTTTGGGTTGGAGGCCACTGAGTTTGGGTGAAGGAGGCACTTGTGACCTGAGGCACAGGATTGGGGTGCAGTTGTGACTTAGAGGAGGGGATTACAGTGCAGGAGCTTGGGAAGTGACCTGGTGCAGGGGCTTGCATTGTGACCGAAGACAGGAGTGGATTGTGATCTGGGGCAGGGGACTGGGGTGCAGTGTGTGGGAGGGGGTATGGGTTCAGGAGGGGGGGGAAGAGGGTTTGGATTATGTGAGGAGGCAGAGGGCAGGCAGTGGTGACCTGAGGCACAGGATTGGGGTGCAGGAGTTTGGATTGTGACCTAGGACAGGAGGGGGTTGAGACCTAAGGCATGGGAGCAGGGGTTTTGCTTGTGATCTAGGGCAGCAGGTGATTGTTCTGGGGGAGGGGATTGGAGTGCAGCCTCTAGGCTCAGGAAGGGGGCAGAGGGTTTGGCTTATGTGGTGTAGGGAGGCTGCAGGGCCATGTGCTCTGTGACTAAGAGTCTGAAGGGTTGGGGGAATTGTTTCACGTGCTGCCAGTTTCTGAAACAGGCAGCTTCCATTGGCCAAAAAAAGCCAATAGGATTGTGCTATGGGGAGGAGGCGGGAGTAGCTATGAGGCACCTCTCCCCTCACTGCTCACAATTTGTGAAAAACAAATGCCCCATGGTGGCTTTTCTGTGTAGCGTTCGGAGGAGACTTCCTGGGGTCTCCCTGTTGTGTACATGGCCGGATAGTTTTGCCCAGTCCTGCTTTAGCGCCAATGCAGGCTCCCTGCTGCCAGGAGGAGCAAGCGCGGGGTGGGCTCAAGCTTCGAAAGAGGCATATCTGGCTCCCTAGTGAGCCATAGGATGCCAATCCCTGTCCTGTAGCATCCATACGCTATAAAAGGTTATGTCCTTCTCCCTAAGCCATTTCATCTTGCCATCACTGAGAACTTGATAACCCTGAAGGGTTTTTTTTAGAGTCTTTATCTTCATCTCAATCTGCTGTCTAATCCAGGTTTACTGTGGTATAACTCTGCAGTCTGCAACCTCCTTAAATTTTATTCTGATACAAATTATTCTAAATTAGAAAAATGTCTACTTTTTTTTGTATGCAGGTATCGGGGGCATTGCCAACATGCCATCTCTTACAGCTGTAGCCCCAGTACCAATGGCATCCATTCCAGTAGTAGGAATGTCTCCACCTTTAGTATCTTCTGTTCCTACAGCAGCAGTGCCTCCCCTAGCTAATGGAGCTCCTGCTGTTATACAACCTCTGCCTGCTTTTGCTCATCCTGGTATGCTGCATACTGACACTATATATTTACTTCTTTTCTATTAACATGTTATTGAGCAATTTTCTTTGCATCCAAAAAGTGAGAATATGGTATTAGTAAATGTTATTACTTTAAGGAATTGCCTTGTTTTAGGGAATACACTTGAATTGGGTTAATTCAAATAGAATTTAAACAGTTTTAAGCCTGAAACAAAACACACAAACCTTCAGTAGAAGAAATCTAGGTTTATTATGTTTTAAAACTTAGATTTTTCAGGTATTTCTATACATAAACCAACAATCATCATGAACAAAATGTTAGCACTCTAGTCAGTAAAGTACAATGTAGTTAGCTTGCCCATAAACCAGAATTGGTACCTACAAATTGGTACTACTCCTTACTGGCTTGTAACCATTAAGATAATACTATTCCTTGGATTATTTTCAAAATACAGAATTCCAATTTTTATAAAGTAAGCCACTCTTTAATATATCAACCAGCTTTATATAAATAATGCAAATGAAGGAAATCATGATGATATGTGTGCTGTTTTTTGTAGGGCAGAGGAGAGATTGTATTGGGAACATTGCCTAAAAAATTCCAAACTGAGTTTAAAATCATAATACTTGGTTTGTAGTGTTAGTTATCTGTCATTGTGAATTGTACATATATATTTAAAATTTACTTTTTATGATTAACACTTATTATTATTATTACAGCCACATTGCCAAAGAGTTCTTCCTTTAGTAGATCTGGACCTGGGTCACAGTTAAATGCTAAACTGCAAAAGGCGCAATCATTTGATGTGGCTAGGTAAGTTACTATGGAGTGTGTGTGCATGTGTGAAATATACTGTAACAGGCAGTACTGACTTAAACGCTGATTCATATCTTTCGTCATTAAACTTCTGAACTTGACAAGACTTGATTTTCTTAAGTAATTACTTCAGAGGCTTTATAGAACATCTTCATTAAATGAAATACCAGACTAGTAGCAAACTATTGAAATATATCTTTTAACAGTTTTAAAAGTTTCAAGTCACATTACAGCATGAGGTTTTAAAGTGTGTACAAAAAAGAGCATTCCTAAAGTGAGCCTAATCTGGTTTGTTTCATATCACAAAGCCACTCCTTTTGTGCTGTGGAAAGATAACACATTTTTCTTAGAAAATAGAGAAGTAGTTTCAGAAGTAAATTATTAAAATGTTGGAACTATGGGAGAGCTGTCCAGAGACTAACTCTTTCTTGTAAGTTTTGTTATATTTTTTAACTTATTTAAGAATTTATAAAAATTTTCAGCATTGTCCAATGAGACAAAATATTCACTAAAGTAGGACTTTGGCGGAGTGGCGCTAATAGTTGCAATATAGTGTTCAGGACAGAAAATAGTTGCTGCTTCACACCATTTCTATGTGTTTAAATTTTGTATGTGTTTAAATTTTGTTTGACTTTTAATCTTAATTCTTCAGGTAAACTATCCTTGGAAGTTTCTTGTGTGTCATAGTATTAGATGCTAAATGTCACTATTACTTGAATGTAAATGAGATTAAAAATACCTTACAATTAAAACCTTTTTTTGTGTCTCAGTATTGTTGGAAACACAGTAGAAACAGTATGCTCTAAATCCCACAGGGAGAGGGGAGTGTATTCTTTCCACCAGTGTTAAGTAATAGTGATTAGCTTCATAGGTACTGAAATCCAGAATTCCTTAGCTGTTTTTAAGGAATATCCAGTTCTTTAATCTATCACAATTAAGGCAAACTGCATCTCTGACTCCTTGGTCTCTTCTAGAACTGGGTGAGATATGGTTTTCCTTTACTATAAAACCTTGGAGATTTCAAAAAAATGTCATGTTACACAGTGGGATGCACCTGAAATTTTTTGAAGTTGAGGAGAATAGGCAGATGATTCAGGGGTCAATTTCTTTCAATATCTCCCATTGGAGCTCTTCCACTATATATAAAAAATACTCTCTGGACCCGAGAGATATTAAGTTTACAGCTCACTGAATAGGTCAGTCACTTGGCGTGCGGGAGATCCAGGTTCATATCCATGCTCTGAGTCAAACAGAATACCCTAATCCTGAGTTTCTCAAACTGTGGGTCCCAAGCAACTTAACGGGGGGTTGCAGCGACTTGGGGGGGCATCGTGGTATCACAAAGTTTGAGAACCCTTGCCCTAACCATTAGGCTGTTAATTAATTATTCTGATGTGAACTATTCTGCAATTTTGGTTTTGATGAATTTGTATTTGATGGAAATATATTTGTATTAAGGCTGTCAGTTAACTGCAGTTAAGTCAAAAGATTAACTCAAAACAAATTAACTCAATTAAAAAATTGTGATCACAATTTTAATCACCCTGTTTAAACAATAGAATACCAATTTAAATATATTATAAATGGTAGAAGACTTACCCAGTGTTGCCCTGGCCCTTCAAGGTTTGGGGCATCGAATTCCAGGCATCTCTCTCTTTCTTGACACTGCCAAAGCCTTACCTTGCTTTGAGTCAGGAGAAGAGGAAGCTGCCTACCAAATTTAGGACGAGTTCTTGAACAAACAGACTCACAGACAGATGGTTGGACTTGCAGACAGACGCAAAAGTCGCTAAAATATATATACAAAAAATTAATTTGTGGATATTTTTCTACATTTTCAAATGCATTGATTTCAATTACAACACAATATAAAGTGTACAGTGTTCACTTCATATTATACTAGCAGATGTACCTGGCATAGCTTGAGCAAAATGCAGGACAATGTAGCACTTTAAAGACTAACAAGATGGTTTATTAGATGATGAGCTTTCGTGGGCCAGACCCACTTCCTCAGATCAAATAGTGGAAGAAAATAGTCACAACCATATATACCAAAGGATACAATTAAAAAAATGAACACATATGAAAAGGACAAATCACATTTCAGAACAGGAGTATAGTGCCTATACTGCCTATACTGGAACAGGCTATACTACAGCCTATACTGGAACAGGATACCAAACTCTAAGAGGCTCTGGGAGACAGACCCATAGTCTCCTATAGACAACCACCTAACCTCAAGATGATTCTTACCAACAACCACAGGACATACCACACTAATACCAACCCTGGTACCTTCCCTTGCAACAAACCCCGTTGCCAGCTTTGTCCACATATTCACTCTGCTGACACCATTATTGGGCCTAACCAAGTGAGTTATAAGATCAAGAACACATATCCCTGCGCATCCAGAAATATAATCTACGCTATCATGTGCCGAAAGTGTCCGTCTGCTATGTACATTGGACAAACATCTCAGACACTTCGCCAAAGGATTAATGCCCACAAAACAGATATCAGACAAGATCACAAAGAAAAAACAGTTTCTTGCCATTTTAACCAGAAAGGACACTCTCTCAATGACTTAACCACCTGCATTCTGCTACAAAGACCTTTTACATCTGCACTTGAAAGGGAATCCTCTGAACTGTCATTCATGTTAAAATTCGACACTTTCCAACAAGGACTTAGTTCAAATGTTTGTTATCTCACCCATTACCAAGATAGTTTCCCCAATTATCACCTCTAATACCATTAACTCACAAACATCCCACTCTCCCTACCTCTAATATCATCAATTCACAGACACTTACCTTCCTTCCCCCTCCCCCCCACCGCATCCCCCTTCTGTTCTGCAATGTGATTTGTCCTTTTCATATGTGTTCCTTTTTTTTAATTGTATCCTTTGGTATATATGGTTGTGACTATTTTCTTCCACTATTTGATCTGAGGAAGTGGGTCTGGCCCACGAAAGCTCATCATCTAATAAACCATCTTGTTAGTCTTTAAAGTGCTACATTGTCCTGCATTTTGCCTCAGCTACCCCAGACTAACACGGCTACATTTCTATCACTATTCTGGCATAGCTTGGGTACTTAACTATAGTAATGTATATTTTCCTTTTAATTAAAAAAAACATGCTTTATTTAAATGATTGTGCAGGGCAGGCGGTTAGGTAGGTGGGGAACTCAGGGTGTGTGTGGGGGGGGTCAGGAATCAGGGTAGGGGCTGGGAGGTGTGGGGGGCAGGTGCAGAAATGAGTACTGGGATTCAGGGACTGAGGGCATGGAGTTGGGGTGCAGAGGTCAGGGCAGGAGCCTGGGAGGTGGAGAACTCAGGGCAGGGTTTGGGTGTAGGGCAATTCTGGATTAGGGGTGGATGGTGCAGTAGTCAGAGTAGGGAGTGGGGTTTGCAGGAGTCAGAGCAGGGACTGGGGGGTACAGGAGTAAGGGTGGGAGGTTGGGTGTATTTGGTGCTTAAAGAAGTTGTTGGTGGTATAGAAGTGGCAAGGGACTGGGAATTATGGGAACCTGAGAGCAGGGGGTTGGCTTTGGGGAGGCTCGGTGGGGGGGGGGGACTCAGGGCACTGGGCTTGGTGGGAGGAGAGCTCAGGGCAGGGGGTAGATGATGCAGAAGTCAGGATGGGCTTGGGGGAGATAATGGGCAGGGATGCAAGAGTGAGGGCAGGGGGTGGAGGATTCAGGGGTAGGGGGTGAGAGGTGCAGGACTCAAGGCAGAGTTCAGGGCAAGGACCTGGCAGGTAGCTTACCAGAGCCACTGGTGGTGGCAAGAGTGGTGCTGATCTGGTGACAGTTCCTTGTGCTGGGGCTGTGACTGCCTCAACCTCCAGATTGTCTGGGGAAGGCTCTGCAGGCGGGTTTTGTCTTCCAGCTCTGTCCCCTCTGCCTGCAGCTGGTATTGGGGAGTAGACAGGGCTCCGGGACCTGGGCCTGGTCTCCAGCTTGGCCGCCCTCCCCCGCCCCCAGCCTTCAGCTTGTACAGGACTCTGGGGACTGGCCTCCAGGGACTCTGCCCTGCCATTATAGGCACTTCCTATTTTCGTGGCATAACCAAACCCTCACTGTGCTTTAAGTTAGGGTAAGGGGAAACTGCATACCAATTTTGATGACTCACAAATAGACTCACTAAAAATATAGAAATAGATAGATTTTCACTGTTAAAGAAGATAAAAAACAATTTTTTTCAATTAACCATATATAAAGTACTTAATGCACTCTATCATGAAAGTACAAGTGAGAAATGTAGGGGTTTTTGTTCCATTATTTTGTTTTTAAATGTAGCTATGTAAAACTTTAGCACCTGCAAGTCTACAGTGCTGATGATGCATTCTGCTTGATAATGATGCAAAGCAGTGCAGACTGATTTATGTACATTTTTTTTATCATCTAGGTCAGATGCTATCAATGGAAGGTTGATTTTTTTTTTTTGTGGTGGTGGTGGTTTGGGTTCTGTAGTTTACAAATAAGAGTGTTGCTCTTTTAAGATTTCTGACTGCATATTCTACATCTCATTCTTTCCAAATTTTAGAGTGCACTTAAGATTCTTAAACCCTGGATTGAATGCAGTAGCTCTTTTGAGAAATCTCTCATTTGTACCTTGGAGTTTTTTTTCAAATCTACATTTAAAATATCTTTAAACAGCATATGCTGGATCATCATCTGAGTCTGCCATAACACAAAGTATGGCAGAATGCAGGTAAAACCACAGAGAAGACTACGTACATTTCTCCCCCAAGTCATTCAGTCATGACTTTAACAGATTTTTTTAATGAGCATCATCAGCATGGAAGCATGTCTTCTGGCATGGTGGCCAAAGCATGAAGTGTACCAATGTGTAGTATGTCTGGCATTTAAATATCTTGCTATGCCAGATATAACTGTGCCATGTCCATGCTTATTCTCACTTTCAGGTGACTCTGTAAATTAGAAGTGAGCATTATTTCCTGTAAATATAAACAAACTGGTTTGTCTTAATGATTGGCTGAACAAGAAGTAGGACTGAGTGTAGTTTGTTTTATTTTTGATTGTAGTTGAAAGAATCTATATTTGTAAGTTGCAGATATTTGTAATAATATAAAGTGCCCACTGTACACTTTGTATTCCATGTTGTAGTTGAAATCAATATATTTGCAAATATTAAAGGCATCCAAAAATCTTTGGATAAAATGATGTTATAGTATTTTACAGTGCAATTAAAATGGCAATTAATTAAAATTCATTTTTGAAATTGTTTGATAGCCCTAATTCTTAGAAATCTAACATGGGCCCTACCAGCCTGAATCTTTTAGACCTGTGCTGCAGTGTTTGCCCATCTCAGCAGACTTAGGGTACGTCTAGACTACAGGTTTTTGTCGACAGATACTGTTGACAAAGCTTCTGTCGATAAAGAGCATCTAGACTATATCCAGTTCTGTTGACAAAGCAAGCCGCTTTGTCGACGTGACAGTGTAGACTCAAAAGACAGTGTAGGTGCAATAACATCTTCTGTCGATAGAACTCTGTTGACAAAAGGCATTATTCCTCATAGAATGAGGTTTACAGCCGTCGACAAAACTGCTGAGTTCTGTCGACATTATAGTTTTGTCGACGAAAGTCAACTTTTGTCGACAAAACCCTGTAGTTGAGACACACCCTTATCTTCAATGCCTTCAATTCTGTTCCCTCTGGGAACAGTGAAAGTGCTTTAAGAGGGCTGTCTACCCACTGGTTACCAAAGTATTATTTACCTATAACCAAAATGTGTTATTGAACAGATGTTAAAACAATATATTTGTCTCTACACATCACTGCCTCTCTAATGCTCAATGTCAATTTTCTTCAGACTCCCTCCATAGATCTACTCTTTGTATCAGCCTATCCTCCCTTGATATCTCCTCATAATTGACATGTGCTCCATTTTGACTGTTCGGTGTTGGTTTGATAGATACTTATCTAGAACAATTATAGTGCTTTCAAACTTTTTTTTTCCCCAGAGCCATTTATTAAGCAAGGTCAATACATGAAAGTCTTCTAACTTGTTATACAATAATTTCCCTAACAGGTTTATGTAAAGTGTTCTAAGAATTCTAAAATACAATAATTTTATGATTATTACATAACAAGCAGCTCCATCTCTGTCACCACAGCCATTCACTACAGGGAATAAATAGGAATAGATTGTGGGGGACAAATGTACACAAATATGGTGGCTTTTCAGTGATCGTAATTTTAAAATCTTTTTAAATCACCTTTTTTCACTTACACTTAAGACATTGATGTTTTATATTCCTGTGCAACATATGGATATGCTTTTTAAGATTAAAGGGAGCTTACTAGTTTAACAACTTTAATTTAAAATAAATATACAGTGTGAGGAAAGGGGGAGAATAAAGGATATAGACTGGCTCAGGCAATTTTAGAATGGAATGAGAGTCACTGTGACTTCAGTGGTTTCAGTGCTTCA